AAAAAAAAAAAAAAAAAGAAATTTTAATTTTATATAGTGAAGGCCTCCCAGGTAGGAATTCCTAAATTTGTATCTTGATTAAGATAGATACCCTAACATCTTTTTGTTTTTTTAGACGGAGTCTTGTTCTGCAGCCCAGGCTGCAGTGCAGTGCCATGGTCTCCGCTCACTACGACCTCTGCCTCGTTGGTTCAAGCGATTCTCCTGCCTCAGCTTCCCGAGTAGCTGGGATTACAGGCATGTGCCACCATGCCCAGCTAATTTTTTGTATTTTTAGTAGAGACGGGGTTTCACCATGTTGGCCAGGCTGGTCTTGAACTCCTGACCTTGTGACCACCCTTCTCGGCCTCCCAAAAGTGCTGGGATTACAGGTGTGAGCGACCGCGCCCGGCCTCAATACCTTAACATATTTAATGCACATTCTTATTTTAGTCATATTTGCGAAAACATCACTACCAATCAGAGAATATGTACAAAAAGGAAATAGCTGTTCTATTACACGGAGAGATTATGGATACTGTTCTCTTTTTCAATATCAACTTTAACATTTTATCATTATTTTTACAATTTAAGAAAAAGAAAATGATATCAGAGCACGTGCCCTGAGTTGGTCCAGTCTCCCCAGACTACGGGAATAGATGAAGTCACAGTCAAGCTTATTATCGGCCTGGTGACTCTCCCTGTATTGTTGTATTTGTATTTGTTTTTCTAAAATATCATTTTAAAAGGCTGGGTGTAGTTGCTTACTCCTATAATCCCAGCACTTTGGGGGGCTGAGGTGGGAGGATAGCTTGAGCCAAGAAGTTTAAACCAGGCAATATAGCAAGACCCTGTCTGCACAGGAAAAAAAGAAACAAAAGAAACCGGTTAGCTGGGCTTGGTGGTATGCGCTTGTAGTCCCAGCGACTCGCGAGGCTGAGGCAAGAGGATCACTTGAATCCAGGAGTTCAAAGTTACAGTGAGCTGTGATTACACCACTGCACTCCAGCCTGAGTGACAGAGTGGGACACTGTCTCAAAAAAAAATAAAAATTGAGATGTAATTCACATAACATTCACCCCCCCCACCCCCCCTTTTTTTTTTGAGGCAGAGTCTCACTCTGTTACCCAGGTTGGAGCGCGGTGGCATGATCTCAGCTCACTGCAACCTCCGCCTCCTGGGTTGAAGTGATTCTCCTGCCTCAGCCTCCTGAGTAGCTGGGACTACAGGTATGTGCCACCACATCAGCTAATTTTGTATTTTTAGTAGAGATGGGGTTTCAGCATGTTGGCCAGGCTGGTTCCAAACTCCTGACCTCAGGTGATCCGCCTGCCTCGGCCTCCCAAAGTGCTGAAATTGTGGGCCTGAGCCACTGTGTCCGGCCACATTCACCTTTTAAAGTATACAATTTGGCTGGATGCAGTGGCTCATGCCTGTAATCCCAGCACTTTGGGAGGCCAAGGCATGGGGAATCACTTGAGCTCAGGAGTTCGAGACCAGGCTGAGCAACATGGCGAAACCTCATCTCTACAAAAAATACAAAAATTAGCTGGGTGTGGTGACTTGTGCCTGTAGTCCCAGCTACTCAAAAGGCTGGGAGGTGGGAGGATGCCTTGAGGAGGCAGAGGTTGCCGTGAGCCAGGATCATGCCATAGCACTCCAGCCTGGTCAACAGAGCCGGACCCTGTCTCAAAAAAAAAAAAAAAATTAAAAATAAAGTATACTATTTAGTAAATTTTAATATATTCACAAAATGTACAACAATCACCATCATTTAATTCCGGAGCGTTTTCATCACCTTAAAAAAGCCCTGTATCCTTTAGTGGTAATTCTACATGTCTATGCCCCACCCGCTGGCAACTACTAAACTCTCTATGAATTTGCCTACTCTGGACACGTCACATAAAGAGAGTCATGATATGTGGCCTTTTGTGCCTGGCTTCTTTTGGTTAATGTTTCCAAGATTCATCCAAGTTGTAACATGTAGAAATACTTTGTTCCTTTTCATGGCCAAATAGTATTCCATTGTATTTATATACCATATTTAATTCATCACTCATGGCCATTTGGGTTGTTTCTACTTTTTGGCTATTATGAATAATACTGCTATGAACATTTGGACACAAGTTTTTATGTGACCATGTTTTCATTTCTCTTGGGCATATACCAGGAATGGAATTGCCGGGTCGTATGGTGATTCTATGCTGAACATTTTCAGGAATGCCAAACTTTTTTGGCAGTTATGCTATTTATCACATTCCCACCAGCAGTGTATGAGGGTTCCACTTTCTCCACATCCTTGCCAACACTTGTTATTGTCTGTCTTTTAAAGAAAATTCTTTTTTGGCTGGGTGTGGTAGCTCATACCTGTAATCCCAGCACTTTGGGGGTCCGAGGTGGGTGGATCCCCTGAGGAAGGAGTTCGAGAAGGAAGGAGTTTGAGACTAGCCTGGCCAACATGGTGAAACCCTGTCTCTATTAAAAATACAAAAAATTAGCCGGGTGTGGTGGGGCGCATCTGTAATCCCAGCTACTCAGGAGGCTGAGCCAGGAGAATTGCTTGGACCCAGAAGGTGGAGGTTGCAGTGAGCCAAGAATGTACCACTGTATTCCAGCCTGGGCAACAAGAGCAAAACTCCATCTCAAAAAATAAATTTTTATTGTAAGAAGTAATAACATAAAATTTACCATTTTAATCATTTTTTGGGTGTAGTTTAGTAGCGTTAAGTATATTCACATTGTTGTGTAATAGATTTCCAGAACTTTTTCATCTTGTGAAACTGAAACTCTATACCCATTAAACAACTCCCCTTCCCTCCACCCCAAAGTAAACATCATTCTACTTCCTCTTTCTGTGAATTTGACTATGTTAGATATCTTATGTAAGTGGAATCATACATTTGTCTTTAGTGTCTGGCTTATTTCACTTAGCATAATGTTTTTGACGTTCATCCACATTGTAGCATGTAACAGGATTTCCCCCCTTTTTTTTTTGAGACAGAGTCTCGCTCTGTTGCCCAGGCTGGAGTGCAGTGGCATCATCTTGGCTCACTGCAACCTCCACCTTCTGGGTTCAAGCGATTCTCCTGCCTCAGCCTCCTGAGTAGCTGGGACTATGGGCACACACCACCACGCCCAGCTAAGTTTTGTATTTTTAGTAGAGATGGGGTTTCACCACATTGGCCAGGCTGGTCTGGAACTCCTGATCTCGTGATCCGCCTGCCTCAGCCTCCCAAAGTCCTGGGATTACAGGCATGAGCCTGCATCAGCCTCCCGAGTAGCTAGGACTACAGGCACGTGCCTTAGTAGTGATGGTTTCGATCTCCTGACCTTGTGATCCACCCGCCTTGGCCTCCCAAAGCGCTGGGATTACAGGCATGAAGTGCGCCTGGCCAATTTCCTTCATTTTTAAGGCTGAATAATATTCCATTGAATGCATATACCACATTTTGTTTACTTTTCTGTCAATGAACACTTGGGTTGCTTCCTCCTCTTGGCTATTGTGACTAGTGCTGCTATGAACATGGGTGTGCAAATGTCTCTTTGAGACTCTGCTTTCGATTCTTTTGGACATATATCCAGAAGTGGAATTTCTGGATCATATTGTAGTTCTATTTTTAATTTTTTGAGACCACTATACTATTTTCCATAACGGTTGCACAATTTTCCAATCCCACTGATGGTGCACACGGGTTCCAGTTTCTCCACATCCTCACCAACACTTGTCATGTTCTGTTATTTCGATACTAGCCATCTGAATGGGTGTGAGGGGATTCTGTGTCTTTTGAACATTTCCATCACGCTTTCAAGCACTTCCTAACTTTCTGGCACACAGGGTGTTCCAGAATCACTTTGCATTTTCCTGCCCCAGCCCTGGAATCAATCTTTTCTCTAGGGAGCCCTGGTTTCTTTCAGTAGAGATGATATTAAGAAACCAAAATCTGGGCGCCTTTCAGATTAATTTTATTTGTGGAACTTCTGTACTCCATGGGACTTAGACATAATCCCGGTGGGGCTGAGGTGACAGATACCTCATCACGATCACCCATTCCCAAAGTAAGGATTAACGTTGGCCAGACTCAGTGGGTCACGCCTGTAATTCCGGCACTCTGGGAGGCTGAGGAGGGTGGATCATCTGAGGTTGGGAGTTCAAGACCAGCCTGACAGCAATATGGTGAAAAATTAGCCAGGAGGGGTGGCAGGTGCCTGTAGTCCAAGCCACTTGGGAGGCTGAGACACGAGAATGACTTGAACCTGGGAGCCAAGATCGCACCACTACACTCCAGCTTGGGCAACAGAGCAAGGCTGCATCTCAAAAAAAAAAAAAAAAAAAAAAAAAAAAAAAAAAGGAATAATGTCTAGGGCAAGCCTTCTGTTCCTGAAGCCAGGGACTCCATGGTTCTTCCACCTCCCCAGAGACAGTGACTGAGCTGAACCTCTCCAGTGATATACCTTTCCCTCAATTTGGTTTTCCACCTGTAGAAAACATCTCTGTACACTTGGAAACAATGATCAGAACCTAGATTTTCCTCTTTTAAGGTTCATCTTGAGAGGGAGAACTAAAAAAAATACATGCTTAAGACTGATTCAGTTAGCATCGAGCTTAACTAAAGATATGTTTACACACGTAGGGATGCATTTTCTTTTCTTTCTTTTTTTTTTTTTTTGAGATGGAGTCTCACTCTGTCACCCAGACTGGAGTGCAGTTGCACGATCTCAGCTCACCGCAATCTCCACCTCTTGGGTTTAAGCGATTCTCCTACCTCAGCCTCCTGAGTAGCTGGGACTATGGGCACACGCCACCACACCCAGTTAATTTTTGTATTTTTAGTAGAGACGGGTTTTCACCATATGGCCAGGCTGGTCTTGAATTTTTGACCTTGTGATCCACCTGCCTCAGCCTCCCAAAGTGCTGGGATTACAGGCGTGGGCCACCTCACCTGGCTAGGGATGCATTTTAATGGGAAAGATCATAACTTTGAACTCAGCCAGAACTGGGTTGGAATCTCTTCACTGCCACATAGAAGCCCTGTCACCTGGGGAGCTTGATCTCTGTAAACATCTATTTCTGTCTATCAAACGAGGAAGATAATGCTCCCCATTCCCTGCAGAATGTTTCAGGGGGTTGGTGAGATGAGTCAAGAGACAAGGGCATCGTCTGCCGTGTAGTGAGCGTCATTAGCAGCGTATCTTTCTAAAGACATTTTGGGGTCACTTACATAGCCCTTTGGCATCAGCAGACTTTGCCCATCAAAGTTGACTAGTTCTTGGGAGGTTACTACGCTGCAGCCCGGGCAACAGAGTGAGACCCTGTCTCAGAAAAAAAAAAAAAAAAAAAGCCTATGGGGTGAAGTGGTTACCTGCTTCCCAGTGACTTGCAGGCTTCAAAACTGCTCTCTCTCATTAGTAGTCTTTATCCATTTTCCAATATTATTTCTTCCTTCCAGTGAACCCACCACATTTCAGAAATATCACCAAGTGAGTCTACTTGCAAGATTTAATCAAGATCTGGAAAAGGTGGCTGCCATTTCCTTGGTGTTCTCTACAGGATCCGTAATTGGCCCAAGGTACCAGCTCAGGATCCTCCGAATGAAGTTAAGGTCCCTCGCCCATCCGGAGAGGTGAGCCGAGGGCAGGGTTTGACAAAACCCGTTTTCCAAGGATATTGCTGGATCCTGTCCAATGTGCTTAGTCTGATGTTTTAACAAGACTCCATTATTCACAATGAAGAACACGATGGGTTTTCCCAAAATAGCTATGACTTTAAACAAGTAGCCCAGGCCAAGTGTAGCGGCTCATGCCTAAAATCTCAGCACTTTGGGAGGCCAAGGTGGGAGGATCGCTTGAGCTCAAAAATTGTAGCCACTCTGGGCAACACAGGGAGACCCTGTCTATGCAAAAAAAGAAACAAATGAAATAAAACCCCAAATGGAAAACAAGTAGCCCAGCTGGGTTTGGTGGTGTATGCCTGTGATCCAAAAGTCAGGGGGCTGAGGTGAGAGGATCACTTGAGCCCAGGAGTTGGAGTCTAGCCTGGGCCACATAGCAAGCTCCTATCTCAAAATCAAAACAAAAAAGTTAAAGAAAAATAAGCTGGGCACCGTGGTTCATGCCTATAATCTCAGCACTTTGAGAGGCCGAGGTGGGCAGATCATGAGGTCAAGAGATCGAGGCCATCCTGGCCAACATGGTGAAACCCTGTCTCTCCTAAAAATACAAAAATTAGCCGGGCGTGGTGGCACGTGCCTGTTGTCTCAGTTACCCAGGAGGCTGAGGCAGGAGAATTGCTTGAACCCGGAAGGCAGAGCTTGCCATGAGCCGAGATTGCACCACTGCACTCCAGCCTGGCAACGGAGCAAGACTCCGTCTCAAAAAACAAACAAACGACAACAAGAAACCCAAAAAACAAGTAGCCCAGTAATTCAAGAAAATTATACTGTATGTACTTAAGGATAGATCACCTACTCATCCAAGGAAATAATGTTATATGCTTAGAATTATACAGTTATTCCCTAACTACCACACTGCTTGTAAGTTGGTAATTTGTTGTAGAAAAGAAAGCTTTGTATAATTTGGGAAGCTGATAAAACAGAGCCTAGTATAAAAAAAAGGTACAGAAAATTGGAACATTTTATTCCCTTGACCACAGGCGCATCCACCACGCGCAGCTAATTTTTTTATTTTTAGTAGAGACAAGTTTTCCCCACATTGGCCAGGCTGGTCTTGAACTCCTGGCCTCAAGTATCCACCTACCTTGGCCTCTCAAAGTGCTGGATTAAAGGGGTGAGCCACCATGCCCTTGACAGTCCAAAAGTATTATATTAAATTTCTTAAATTTGATAATGGCACTGTAAATGGCTTTGTTCTTAGGAAATATACAATGAATTAAGGAGTAAATAATCTATTCTCAATTTTGTTAGAAAAATAAACAATGTATGTGTGGGGAGAGAGACAAAGAGGGGGAGAAGGAGAGAAAGAATTTGTTTTTTTTTTTTTTTTTGAGGCGGAGTGTCACTCATGTTACCCAGGCTGGAGTGCAGTGGCGCGATCTCGGCTCACCGCAACCTCCGCCTCCTGGGTTCAGGCAATTCTCCTGCCTTAGCCTCCTGAGTAGCTGGGATTACAGGCACGCGCCACCATGCCCAGCTGATTTTTTGTATTTTTAGTAGAGACGGGGTTTCACCGTGTTGACCAGGATGGTCTCGATCTCTTGACCTCGTGATCCACCCACCTCGGCCTCCCAAAGTGCTGGGATTACAGGCTTGAGCCACCGCGCCCGGCCTGTTTTTTTTTTTAAGTACAGAGCTGTACTGAGATGTATGTTTTGTAACAAATGCCACTCTACCATACAGTCCTAGCATCTAACCTGTGGACAGAGAGGGAGACAGGAAATGATGTGAGCAGTTAGTACTTTATGAATTTCTTTTTCTCGAAAGTTTAGGGACCAGGCATGGTGGCTCATGCCTGTAATCCCAGCACCTTGGGAGGCCAAGGTGGGCGGATCACTTGAGGTCAGGAGTTCGAGACCAGCCTAGCTAATATGCTGAAACCCCTTCTCTACCAAAAATATAAAAAATTAGCCGGGCGGTGGTGACATGTGCCTGCAGTCCCACCTACCTGGGAGACTGAGGCAGGAGAATTGCTTGTACCCAGGAGGCAGAGGTTGCAGTGAGCCGAGATTGTACCACTGGGTGACAGATGAGATCCTGTCTCAAAAAAAAAGAAAGTTTAGGGTACCCTAAAACATTTAGCAATAAAACTTTCTTCTAAGAGGACAGTCATTGCATCCTAAAACTTTTTAATACTTTTTCCCCTGAATATTAGACAATATGTGTTTATTTTTTAAAATCTAGAAAGTACGAAAAGTGTTAGGAAGCAGAAAAGTATCACCCATGTTGTCATTATTCAGAGGCAACCACTGTTAACATGTTTTTGTTATTTCTATTTAATCTTCATTCTTTTATTGTTTTAAAGCCAGTTGAAGTTATATGGTAAATACAAGTTTACCTCTTGTTTTCTTCCTCTTTTTTTGAGACGGAGTCTTGCTCTGTCTCCCAGGCCAGAGTATAGTATCGCGATCTCGGCTCACTGCAACCTCTCTGCCTCCCGGGTTCAAGCAATTCTCCTGCCTCAGCCTCCCGAGTAGCTGGGATTACAGGCATGTGCTACCAGACTCAGCTAATTTTTTGTATTTTTAGTAGAGATGGGGTTTCAGTATGTTTGTCAGGCTGGTCTTGAAGTCCTGGCCTCAGGTGATCTGCCAGCCTCAGCCTCCCAAAGTGCTGGGATTACAGGTGTGAGCCACCGTGCCTGGCCTTATATCTTGCTTTCTCCTTGGTGTTTTACTTACTGTAAGCATTTTCTTTCTTTTTGTTTCTGAGGCAGAGTCATTCTGTTGCCCAGGCTGGAGTGCAGTGGCACAATCTCAGCTCACTGCAACCTCTACCTCCCAGTCTCAAGCAATGCCTCAGCCTCCCAAGTAGCTGGGAGGGTGGCACACGCCACCACACCCAGCTATTTTTTTTGCATTTTTAGTAGAGACAGGGTTTCACCATGTTGATCAGGCTGGTCTCGAACTCCTGGTCTCAAGTATCACCTGCCCTGGCTTCCCAAAGTGCTGGGATCACAGACATGAGCCACCGCACCCGGCCACCATAAGCATTTTCTATATTAAAAACAATTGCTAAATAATTTTTTATATCTTAAGGATATAGTATAATATACTAGACCATTGCATTTTTATAATTTCATTGACGAGGATATTTTATCTTATTTTCCCAGGCCCCAGCTGTGTCGGTATGATCTTGTCCTGATGGAAAACGTTGAAACAGTCTTCCAGCCTATTCTGTGCCCAAAGTTGCAGATGTAACTGTCGCCAGGACACATGGGCATCAGTAACAGAAAGAAAGCTACAACCACGGGCTGTTTTAAAGCATCACCTCACCTTTTCTGCAAGGCACAAAAAAAAACCCCAAAGCTTTTTTCAGTAGCATCTATGGATGTCACATTGTACAACATCAAACAACCTTGTGATTATAAAACGATTCTGGAAAGGGAGCCCCTAACTAGGGCAAGTCAGAAATAGCTAGGCTTGCGGCAGCCCAGCGCTGTGTCTGCTGCGTCCTGGGGCCTCCTTTGTTCCGACCTGTCAATTCTGTTGCCTGTCACTCGGGTGGGTTCTGCCCATCACGGTTCCAGGTCAAGCATCTTCAAGGGAAGGACGGACTGGAGGCCTCACTGTGGACTCAACTCTGCATTCTCTGTGCCAAATTTCTCCAGTTCCCGCACAAGGAAGGGAATGAAACTGACCTGTACCTCACCCGGCTGCAATGTGGGTTTGGAGGCAAATCTATGAAGGCTTTTTTGAAATCCCATGGGTCCACATCTATGAGATGTGTGATAAATGTGAATATGCTTTTATTTATTTTCATAGGGCTTATCTAATTTGCAGTAAGAGAGCCTTTCTCTATCAACACCAGCTTCTCTCTTAGACTGTCTGATCTGGGAAGGCAAGAAAGCCACGTGCGGGCTCTCTGCCTTCTCTAAAATGTTGTTGGAGCATAGAGGAGCTGGAGGAGGTGGGGATGGACTGACAGCTAAGAGAGTGGCTGCTGGGACTAGATGGTAAGTGGATGAGGAAAGAAGGGCAAGGAAGCCATGGGGCAGCCTCTCCACACAGCGACAGGGCAGGAGAGGGAAAAGCAGAGTTTGTTTTTCACTTAGAAGGATCACTTTACAGGCAATCCACATTTCTTTTTTTGAGACAGAGTTTCGCTTTTTTTGTTGCCCAGGCTAGATTGCAATGGTGTGATCTCTGCTCACTGTAACCTCTGCCTCTCGGGTTAGAGCAATTCTCCTGCCTCAGCCTCCTGAGTAGCTGGGATTACAGGTGCCTGCCACTGCACCCTGATGATTTTTATATATTTAGTAGAGATGGGGTTTCACTATGTTGGCCAGGCTGGTCTCAAACTCCTGCCCTCAAGTGATCTGTCTACCTTGGCCTCCCAAAGTGCTGGGATTACAGGCGTGAGCCACCACGCTCGGCCAAGAAATAGACTCTCTGTCATAAATTATATAAATCTATAAATATATTCCTGTGTGGCACACCTTACAGATTTACATTTGCAACAAATACAGAGTCTGTTTTGCTTAAGTGAGGGATGACCGGACTCTGAGTGGAACAAGCTCGTGGACATCTTACCATCCTTCCCCTCCTTCCCACATTTCCTCAGCAATTGTGGACACAGAGATCAGTGTGCTGTAGGCCCTGGTTTCTTCTTAGAGTTTTATTGGTCCTGTATTCTGTTTAGCACAGTCACTTTTTTGTTCTCTTTCCTTGCCTGGTAAGCAGGAGTCAAAACGATAGCAAGAAAATTCCAGAAATAGAATTTCTACCAATTCGTAAGCTCTGGGCTCCTGGGTCTTCCAGCTCAGTACCTGGCTCACTGTGGGATGGGTAGACGGATGAACAAATGGATAAAGAAAAGTTTGTTCACCGGAGAGGAGAGGAATTTCAATGAGTTTCATATGACAGTGATCAAGAGAAATAAAGGCAGTTATAGGTGTGAACTCACTGTTCTCAAAATCTTTCTCCCAAGGGCCCCTGGAACTTTTGACTGTCTCTTGTTATCTTTACCTCTCCTCCCTCCCTTTGTCAGTACCGTGTATGTGTCTGAGTGCCAAATTCAAGACACGATTAAATCACAGTCTGCCCTCTTCCCTCCGCTCTTCACTGGTGATCTCCTACTCATCATAAGGATCATGGCTGTATTGCTAGTTCCTCAGGGAGTCTTCTTGGACCTCATTTCCATACAGAGGCTCCACACGGTACCTCTCCATAGCACTTTTTAGTTGTACTTTTTAAAAACATTTTCTTTCTCTCTTTTCCTCCCCTTCCTTCCTCCCCTTCCTTCCTCCCCTTCCTTCCTTCCTTCCTTCCTCCCTCCCTCCCTCCTTCTCTC